GGATGAACCACAGCCAGGTAACGGTCAATCGACATTACTGTGAGACAGAAGATAGACGTAAACTGGTTCATGGAGTCTGCAGTCATGACCACGCGGCACAGGAAAGAGCCAAAGGGCCAATAGGAGAGTACATTCTGTGTGGTAAGAAAGGGGAGCCCGACGATGTACATCTCATCAGCCACAGCCAGGTTCAGGATGTAGATATTGGTGACTGTTTTCATTTTGGCATAGCGCAGCACCACATAGATCGCCAAAGTGTTGCCGGTCAGACCCACCACGAAGACTGTGAGGGATATGACTGCGGTCATCAGAGTGCTGCTACCCTGAAAGGGGACACTCTGAGTGGAAATGTTGGAGGAGATGTTGAAAAGGCGAGGATAAGAGAAGAGGATAGGTGAGGATGTAGAGGAGTTGAGCTCGGATGAAAAGGGATGCCAGAGGTTTTGGTCTTGTTGCTCCATTGTTCACAGTCCATGTGGTGGCTTGATTCCAGTGATTTAGAAGAAACTCTTTCCTCCTTCTTCTTTTCCCATGCTTTCGAGACAGAAGCCGGAGCAGCCCCCACGCTTTAAAATGTGAAGTAAAGCGATGAAAAGGTGATTTTGAACTATAAAAAAGGAACAATCCAGTTTGTCTCAATCAACAGTCCGTGCACAAGAAAGACCAATAATCACTACATTAAACTCCTCCGATAATTCTAAAGGTTTGTGTGCGCCCCGTGCGCCCTGAGCGAACTCCAGTGAGGCAGGTGTTCCACATCCTAGCGTATCATACACGTAGCTTCACAGTAGTGTAGTCGTATGAGGAATTAGACTGTAAGCAGTTGAGTCACAGATGATGATGTGCTGTATTTGTCAGCTCTATCTTTGCTTCTTCTTCTTTCTTTTTTTTAAATAGATCTGACTGTTTACGTCTCTTTTGATCTGACTTTGGAACCACTCACAAGTCATCCGGCGTGTTGTGCGTCAAGCTGTGAATGGTGCCACCGCTTTTACGCACG